TAATCCTAAATAGACCTTTACTCAATCGAAACTTCTGCTGGAGGAGCCACTTTGTTTGTGCTTTATCATGTAAGCTAACTTACTTAGTCACCGCTCTCAAGTTGTTTATACGTTCGAGCTTCCAAAAACGGGCCTTGTTGGATATGTATACCGCGACAAATGCGGTCGCAAAATCGCGTCGGTCCCACATGGCCAAAACACCAAAACTCGCATTGTCGTCAATGTGTCAAGACTGCTATTGTAGACTCTTCCATACATACGCTAATTACTGTACATCTTGTAGCAAAAATCTGAATTAAGATCATGAACTGGTTGAAGGCGCATTTCATGAATAGCGGACCAATTTTTGCGCTCTGATATGACTAGAATGAATGTGGTACTGCTTGGTCGATAAATTCTTAAGAGTGCAATTGAAATTGCTGAAAACTCTTGGAAACGCGATTTCGACCGAATGTGTGGTCAGTCAGTCCAACCACCGTCTCAGGGGTAAGTTCACCTACTTTTTGTATGAATGGAAGGACCGACCAATAAAAATACTGAGAGAAACGGCTCAGAACCCTGTTGATTTTCAGCACACTGTCATCTTATGAAAAGAGCGATCGTGAATGTAATTCCTTTGGTTTCAGAAAGCTCCATGAGAAAAGCCTTCTTTCCAAAATCAGTGCAGTGGAGGACCGACTAAACTCGTACGTTGGGAACCTGAGAAATTCAATCCAACAAATCAAATCCGGCAAAGAAAATGTGGAGATTCCATCAATTGATTTCGATGGGGTAAGTTCCAGTGGTCTAAAAACATTATGTAGTAAACTAGGCTGTCTAGTATAGGAGACAATATTCATCACGTGGCTGTGAGCTTTACTGAGGAGAGAACTACAACTAAATTGGTAATTGGAGATGTTGGGGAAGGTACCCGTTTTGTAAGTTAGACCAACCACTGTAGATCTGCAACAAGTGCAAACAAAGACGAATTTTCGAAGCCACGAAAAAAGCTGGTACAGAGCAGAAAATGGAGATTCGCTAGGATGTAAGAGCTTTTGTTAGAAGCGACGCAGACATTTTGACGCGTTCCTAGCAAAATGTAACCAAAGGAATTAAACACCTGGCTTTATCTTGAAATCTTTCCTCAGGAGTGAGAAGTGGAAGTTGCGTATCGACTCATTTCTAAGGATCAGAGGACCATAAAAATAAGCGAGACACGCTTTCCCATCCACGTTGCGCCTGTGGTTCATTGTAATACGGAGTCGGCTTTTGTTAGAAGATGATCTGCACTCCAACCGCTCGGCAACGGGAAATCTCACTGCTGTACCCGACGATCAAGTTTGTGTTTCATATGTTTTGAGCCCAAATCAGCTCGAAACACGATCTGACATCTGTTGGTCCTGGTTCCCCACGGTTCCTTTCAGTGATCATCTAGTATTCGCTAGGGGTGTGGAAGAGGTGCGACACGCTAGCAATTCCACAATTAGCAGTAGCCTAGCTCAAACGATTCGGCAGTTCCGACAGCAAAAGCCGAACCTTTTTTAATCCGACTTCTCGAGAGCATGGTAGGAGGATTTGCGGTGACAACTGCCGCACAGTAATACCGAGGTCAGGGAAGAATACAAATTTCGACAGTTTAATGGCGACGCGTTCAATTTGAAAGTAAAGCAAGACAAAGTCTGCTTTTTTCCTGAGGTCGTTCGACCCCACCTTGCAGAGAATATTCATAAAAATTGGAGACTTTTGGGCTGACAGCTTCTTTCAGCTCCAAAGTGTAGCCCCACCCTCGTGCCATCAACGGAACACCCACTATAAGCTGCAGCGCTCTTCCTTGGAAAGAAATGTTACTCTAAGTGACTGATCTTAAACTCGACGACCGGTCTCTCTACGATTGTAAGCGCATGAAGTCCATAGAAGAGACAGCGACTAGCTTCCCATACGTAGGCAATACAGATAGTAGAACTGTACGTTTGGAGCACTTCAGGTGCAAAAGAAGAAAACCAAAATTGTAAAATAGGCAAACCGATTCACTAATTATAGGGCAATGTAATGGTAAAGCTTAAGCTGAAAAATTACTCAATAGAATCTTTCTCAGTACGAGAATTTAAGATTCGACGTGAAATGGAAGCAATTGCAGCTGACAAAGGCAAAATGAACATGGAAGGGCTCCTGATGCTGGAACAAAGAATGGCTCGTGCTCAATCAGGTATGCACCACATTCTCATGTGAAACGACAGAAAATGATTTGGAGATACATGCGCAGGAGCGATTCCTTACCTCAAACTGCTCTTCTTACTCTGTGACACCGCTCTGGCGTGGTATTCTGATCGATCCAATTTCATGGTAGATCGCAATGCCAAAAGTTATCGCCTAGTACCAGTAGATCAGTTCACTTGAAGGTTGGGGAGGGTCTCTATAAAACAGCCGCTGTACGCGTAGTGGGGTACCCGACAGGAGGCCCACCGCGCAGCAAGAAGGGAAAGTCAGCGGGTGATGTGCCAGGTAGGACGTCCAAGGGTACATTTCATTTAACTTCACGCGGAATCGCTACAGTATGTGCTGTGAGTCGCCCATTGACTCTACGTTGTTGCCGCGCGAGGGATCACCTGTCGAGTACCCGCGCGTAGCTTAGCATCTTTTTCATGATTTCTCATCAACAATATCCCACCATAGTTTCGGTAGTGGTAATGAACATATTGTCTTTTGAACCTGCACTTTTGGAGAACGAGCAATGAGCACTACATGTAGTCTATGTAAAATGGGTGGATGTGCAATGGTACGGATCAAATCTTGGCACTATAGGTGAGAAAAGGTCAGTTAGGTGAGAAAACTTTACGGACAAGTGCGAAGTGACCCATTAAGGCCCGTTTCAGGCTTTGCGAAGTTCGCTAGCGATTCACTAGCGAACCGCGGGGAACGAGCATTGCGCCAGCGGACCAAACTATGTATGTACCAGAGGGTCGAACGATGTACCAGCAACTTGGCAGTGTTTGGAAGCGGCGGGAGACCCTCTCGTTCGCACGTTGACTCTCGCCGTTTTCGCAAGCTCACGTGATCATGAGAGAGTTGAAAGAGTGATGAACAGCGAGAGACTTTACGAATTGCTGGATTCGCAAAGCCTGAAAAGGCCTAGGGGTGATGCCTTGGGGGTCACCGAAAATGTGTGTTAGTCACGTAAAACTGCAATTAGAGAGGCAAACCAGTTACTATTACTTTATTATTAGCGGTTGCCTCTTAATCATGAAGTTGCTGTTTTTAAAAATTGTGTCAGAACAAGAAAATTCGAGACATTAGCGTAGTGTCACATAATCCTACGCCATCACTATCGTTATTCCATTGAAATTGTTTACTATATTGTATTATCAAATGGAAGGACTTTGCTCAGAACTTCAACAAGACCGGAAGAAAATATCGCAAGAACTTGCTAATCTCGAGAGCAGCAGTGACGTTGAGAAGCTCAGGAACCAAGTTAAGAATCTCTCCACCCTGAATGATCACATGAAAAACACTCAAGAATTGATTAGGGACAAAGTTGACAAACAGATACCAAAAGATGTGGGTCTCGCTTTTCTTTTATTCTTTTCTTCCTTTTTTCTTTTTCTTCTTCTATCTTTTCTTTTATTTCCTGACTATCTCATAATTAAGTTGAACGACTTGGCCGCCAAAACCGATAACATCACGCAACACTTGGCTGATCGCCTCGATAAGGAGGAAGAAGAGAGGTGTGTGAAAGTTACAAAGATTATGCAGCGTTTCCCGTTGTCCGTTACACCTTTTCTCTGATGCTCATGGGATCATAATAGAGGTAGGTGTGCCTTTTGCCAGTGCCTCATCTCTGCCGTTGAAAATACACTGCTAACCTCAACTGAGCGGTAAATAACAATATTAAAACGTTCACATAATTCCATCTCTTCAGGAAAAGCCATCAACTCGGTCGCGCCACTTGCAATGAGTGTGCCGTTGCAGTGACCCTGAAACGCTGGGCTCAAAACTGCCTTTCACATCTGCTAACCGATTCTTTGAACGGAGTTATGAAGCAACTAAGCGCAGCGGTCGGCCACGTCATTAGATGCCTATGCTAATAGTGTGCGAGCAGTTAGGTCATTGCAGGTTTGAGCGCTATTTGTCCATAGCGACCATTGACGGTGATCTCGAATTTTCGTCTCATAAAGTCAGGGGTAAAGGGCGAGGTGTAGTATGTAGTAAAAACGCCCTCATAGGCGGACCGTCGTGAAATCCAATCCCCGGATCCCGCCAGAGCAAAGATGTCTTCCATCTACATAGGGTAAAGGAACTCATGTAATAAAATAAATAGCGATTTGTACATCAGCAGGCTCCCACCTTTTCATACAGGCGAATTTGTATACAGATGCTGCTACGCTTTCAAATGGAAGCAGAATGAGTGGCGCAGTCCTCCACAAAAGCCGAAGCTGTATTGTACCTCATCACGGTCAGACCACACTTCGGTACATGAAATTTTTAGAATTTTTGGGCGCCCACCACTCATTCTTCGATGTGCTCTCGACTTAAAACACACTGGAGGAAAAGCCACGTATATGTAGACACTCTTTTCTCGAGAAAAAACAGGATGTAAATAATCTTACAGAAGAGACGTGTTGCGCAGATCATAACTGTATTTCACGTTGGCGCTAAATTGTTCTCTGTAGTCATCATCGTCTAAGCATATTATGGAGACTTTTCGGAATCTTTCAGTGTGAGGCAGGCGCAAGAGGCTTGTCTAGTTCGAATTGCGCAGCGTGGGCTCTCACGGAGCAGAGCAGTCTGCTCCGCTGGACCCCCCCCCCTGAACAATGATACCAAAAAAATGAAGTATTTAGGGAAAAACGAGTGCTTAATTGAGATGTTACACTTTTTTTCTAAACGAGCTTTCCACTTTTCGTCCAGACAGCACTGTTCACATTTTACAGTCTCTAGCACTCTCATGGCAGTACTTCTTATACAATGTACTGTCTGCCGCTAGCCTACATTAATACTCCTGTGCAGAGTCTCACAAATGAGTAGCTCTCAAAAATTGTAACCGTCGTATAGAAAGCCCCAATGGATAGCGATATAAGGATTAAATCTGACGATAAGTGTGCGATACGACCTGTTAGAATCTAACGATGAACCGGAACGGGGATTTCAGATAAGGGTACCGCGCGGCGGAATACAAAACACATCATTCGGTGTTTGCCGTTACAAAATCCTATGAGGAGACGTCGAGCTGAATACGAAGTGTGCGGTTGCGGCGGCGCGCATGTCACGTCAGGGTTACG